GACATTTATTCTGTGAATGCCCTGCACACCTCTGCAAGAGGCTGAAATACCTCGAAGGGGTACGGCCTTTCCACCCAGGAAGCTGGCCTACAAATCTTGGACACCAACTAGAAGCAGAGTCACGCACAAAATATCTGGAAAGGTAGCAGTGCTTAAGCGGCTGGAACTAGCCGTAACAACTCCATATACAATCTACAATCTACTCATTTAATATAAATCGCATGAATTTTGAGATATCCCGAGAAATATCCTGAAAATTGAAATCGATGGATACATCACCATTGCAATCAAACCCTACCTGGGTACGATTTCAACAAGCAGTAAGAAATAGTAGTTTACTTTATGTGACGTTTTTCTAAATTGTGATTGGTTTGCATATTTTTTTGCCATTATTTTCCGACTCCTCTAAAAAAACTAAATTTTTTACGGCCTGTCGTGAATTTCCTACTCTTTTTCTAGCTTCTATCCTGTTTTGTAATTGATGCCTAAGGAAATAAGTCACACGAGCTTTCACTCTATCCTATTTAACGGCTCTTTTAGCAATATGCTCGAGAGTCCGAGAGTTGAAAAGGCTTGAATTTTAGTACTCGAGGAGTCTTTTTCAGAAATAGCCTCTTGTATCTCTAGTCGTCGAACGTGAAGAGATTATCTAATGTATAAGCCACCGCATAGATAGGTATAATTTCGAATTTTGAGCTTGTGCAAAGATTTTTATTAATATAGGTACTGTATTTTTAAATATTCCTATCAATTGTTTTTGGATTACATAACAAAGTTATTCCCTGTTTCAACTATGAATCAAATTAGCCACTATGTTTTTCACAAGCTTAATATTCTACAACTTCAGTCAGTTTCCGTTTCCATGCTCTTCCTGTCGCGTATACTCCTGATTAAGATTAAGGAATATAATCCCGAAGGATTTTGTGATACTTTACTTAACACCCTCTTTAACAGTAACAATGTATTTTAGGCAAAGTTTAATGCCTGGCAGCAATCTTCCGTTACCAAAGGTTTATAATTTGGGTGTGTGAGAGAGTTTCAGTCTAGGGTAATAATTCTGTTAGTGTTTCAACACGTTAGGATTATGTGTCCATGCGTTAGATTTGCTAATCTTGTTTCAAGTAACAATAATTCTTTGGAGAGACATTTTGCAATTACAAATATATTTCATATTATATATATACATACATATACATACATATAAATATTTTTCAATTTCAGCTCTTCAGTTTACTGTCCATGTTTTTCCACGACTCTTTTATACTCTAAAGCAAATTAAAAACGAAAGCCCTGTTTATTAATTAAATAATTAGTTAATTATAATAATGTATGTTGCCATATAAAACTTCGATGGTTAAATAATTACCTTTGACCCACAGGCCATTGAAGTTCGGATAACGTGAGTTAACTATTTCAATAGGAAAACTTCGTTTTTAATAGTTATTTATACACCAAGTGACTTGAATGAATCTTTATTCATGAGAAGATAGTTTAAAAGTTTCGAATGCATAAACATTTTAACTCACGTGATGTATACAAAAAAAAAGCACTTAAAAATATAGACTAACTCTAACCACGCAATTGTAATTATTATGCAGGGTCAGCATGTCGACTCAGCTTGTTCAGGTGTTTGGTAATGACATAACCATCCATCCTTAAGTTCAACTATACCGTCAGGGTAGTTGAATCGGTTGATGCTTCAGGGCTTCTTCTTCTTGTTGTTCAGACTGGGATTTTGGCTAGATTTTCTGTAAAACATAATGGCACAGCCAAGAATCATTAGAGGATATATTAAAATTGTCCAAATTGATGGAAATTTTTGGGCAGGACGAATAGCCATTTATTGGAAGCTGATTGGTTATCGAATATCGGCTGGCTTATGTAGACTTCGATTTCATTACATGTGGAAGTGACTCTTGGAGAAGATAACAACTGTACTCCACAGAGCATCTTCCGTGGAATTTCTATAAATTTTCTTTTTCGCACATGTGGCGTTGGGGTGAGATTTCTTGACAGCCCTGGTCTTGGTATGTATAGTGCAATTTTTGTATATAAATGAATTTTGAAACTTTCTTTCGAAACAATAATTGGAATATGCAATGAGTAAGTGATTTTATTATTCAAAATAAAACATTCAATATCGATGTTTTTTCTAGGAAAGTATGTTAGTTAATTCTATCGGTAAAGGTATTTGACTCGAGCTGACTCGTTTTTCCAGGTTTTCAAGTTGTGGAAGAAGATCTTCGGTTTTTATAATCCTTGGATGCATTACTTTATGTTTACTAAAGGTGATACAATTTTCAACATCCTTCAATACAGAGTCGATAATTTCATAAAGATTAATTATTTGATTTAAAACGTCTTTGAAGAATAGCGCACTAGATGCAAAAATAACTATGTTGTATCTAGTGCGCAAAATGCCAATTTGGTGAACGAGAACGACGAGAAAGCGTTTGGAGAGCGTCAATGATCTCTTGGTATGACCCAATAGATAAGGCCTATCCCAGGTATTTCCAACCTAAAAAATATGTAATTTTTGTTTTGTTTGGGTTAGTTGGAGTGCGAGTTTGCAAGTAATTTAGTGATTTTGGTGTGTCCTCTCATCTCTTTTATTCTTTTTTTTTAACCAGTTTAATTAAATTTAATCAGAAAATAAATGTAGAGAATTTAATAACATCATATTTAATAAGATGTTGATTGATGATGTGGATAATGCCATAGAACAATTTGGAGTTCCAAGGGATGTCCTGGACAAGAAAAATCCCTTTGATCTCACCGAACATAAGTTTGTGTACAGGGGTGGTCGATATAGTGACACCATTTGTTGTGCATCCTACACGACAATCAGCCTTAGCAGTAACTACAAAGGTAAGTAAACAAGGGAAATTAGGGGAGTACTCCTACACTACACAATAAAATACAACATACCATATACAAAATATGCATAAAAACTAGATCTCCTGAACTATATTTTTTCAAGTTTTAGCTACGCTAAGATTTTACTCATCTGGAAGCTAACCAAGAGGTGACTGGATCAAATAGATTTGTTGGTATTAGTCAAGCTTCAGCAAGCAGGGCAATAACTGAAATTGAACGCTCTCAACCAAGCTGAAATTTTAAACCGAATAATTAGATATCCACAGGGTACTGCAGAATTGGAACCTTCAAGGACAAGGTAAGTTGTAAGCAATTTCGGATCTCAATAAAACTAACAGAATATACTTGAAAAAAGTATTTATTGATTTTAACTAATTTTTTCACATTTCTTCCATATTAAGGTAGTGGGTATTTGTCATCTAAGAAAGATCACTGCATATCTTAGGCCCCTCTTGACTGTTTGTATTAGGTAGGTGGTAGGTGCTATTATAGTGTTGCTATTATGATCCCTAATCTAAATGATGCAAATTTTCCAGAAAATTTTTATGTTGACAGGAAAAATTTTCATTCCATAAATGTGCAACTGGTAAGGGCCAATAATAAACTGTGGTATATATGAAATTACTGATTGAAGGATAACATTGGGATATTTCTATAACTACATCATATGTTTATCAGTAATTAAAAATCACTGTTTTAATAGTAGATTATACCACGAGTCAATAATGATAGCTATTATTCCCGAGGATTATTACGAACTGAGCCGCGTTAGCGGCGACGGAGTAACATTCCGAGGGAATAATAGCCATTATTGCGAGTAGTATACTCTACTTTATTTACGATAAATTAATTAAATTTGAAATTTTTATTGAACAAATTTCATCCGTCTCATAATTTTCAATACAAATCCACAAGCACTACACGTTTGACACTGACACTTTTGTTGAATAATGACCATTAATCCCGCTACTCGTCATTAATCCCTGGAGGAATAACATATGTCATTATACTGCCAAAATCACATATATAATACGCACATTATACTTTAGTCGTAAATAAATATTTTTATTTCTTTGGAGCCTTCGTAGCATTTTCTTATAACACTAATAAGGCTTCTTGAGACATATCCTTGCATTTCACTATGAATGTTGAATATTTGAAAGTTCGTAATATGTATAAGGTTCAGCATCTTTTAGGTGTGTGACTTAAACCTTGAAATTTTAAATGTTAACTCAAGGTTCCCAGGGGCGACCCATATAGGCAGTCTTCTGTATCTCAGTTTATGGAGACAGTATACAGAAGAAATCCAAACAACATTTCTTTCTTCTTGGTCGACTAAGGTATGCAGCTCTAACTAAATGTGTGAGAGAGTTTTGTTTAAAAAAACAGTCCATGGTCATTTTGCTAGCCGTCACCTCTAATATTTGCATAAGAGTCAATGGTTATTAACACCGATCAATAATGCTGTAAACGTGGGAGAAGAACGTTTCAATGAGAGACTATGCATTGCGGTGCTCAAAAACCGGATCAGGTGTCTGTTTCGTTATCGCACCCTCCATTACAGCCCCTTAATGCCAGGAAAAATCTCAAATGCCTGTTGTGTTTTACGGAATTTGTGCATCAACAATGTTATACCTGAGGTAGAAGAGATACATCCTGTGGAGTCAGATTAAGGCATGTATGCAGTGAATGATCAAATTGGTTTTGTAGCAGGTGCTGCCAACATTGATATAGCTTCTGCTAGAGCTCTGCAGCAAAATATCATCAAGAAAAAAAAACCTAGTGATTTTCATATTTTACTAAGAATTAAAAAAAAAAACTTCATACATGTGAACGAGCTTATAGAAAATAGGAACTTCATGCCTACCAAATTATTATTAATAGGTACTCAACATACTTATTATAAACAACTCAGTTCATTACATTGGCTAAGCTTGTCAAATAAATAAAATATTCTCAAGAACATAAAGTAACAAGAAATAAAACTGGTACATCAATAAAATCGTACAGCAAATAATGCTAACATACCTAACAACTTATGAAATAACTATTAGTTAACTTTGGTTAGGTTAGGTTGAAAATATCCGAGATACCCTATAAATTGGTCACGACTAGAATAATTTTCATCGATGCTGATAAATGCATGTGAGATGTCTTCTAAAATCTCCACCATTTCTGTGTGGTAATTTTCCTGATTTTGCTATGTCATGTTTTTCATAAGTAATTTCGGGCTCAGGAACTTCACAATTTCCAGTCATCGCAACTAGAGTAATTATCTCTAAAATTTTTTGTTCAGTCCCCTTATCTGTTTCGTCATCGCTTGGAGGAGGCAAAGGCGGGCCACCTCCTGTGCACAAGCTATGCGCTTTGGTTTTGGCATGTTTGCTTTTAAAAAAATTTTTTATGTCCACAGATATGAAAAAAAAAAAACATAGTATGAAAACATAGTATGAAAACATAAACTGAAAATAGGTTTGTATGTGATATCACACATAATAGGCATACTGAATGAAATAATTGAAAATAAAAAACTTATTTTTATCCACCCTTCTTTCTTAACTATTAATTTTTTTATACAACTGACAAAAATTATCCCCCCAATTTCTATTCTATGCGCTTCGCTAATCGCTTGGTGGGTTGTTTTTAACCCCTCTGTGTAGTATTTTAATATCATTGGTAGTAATAGTTTGGTGGAGAATAAGAACATGATTTCTTTTTTTTGATCCTCCTGGCATTGAGTTGAGTATATCTATAATATGTTTCCACAAAAACACACTTGTGGCATATGTGTATGTGGCAGAAAATGTGCCCCGATACATTTCGGGCCTGCTGTGCACATATTCTATCAACATTTCTTTTTGTTTGGCCGATAAGGGCTTTGACTTTTCATTTTGATTATTTTCTATTTCACACCTAAAAACAATATTATATTGTTAGCTTGATGCAAAAGTATGGTAAGTTTATAAAAAATATTAAGATAATTATTGTTATACACTATTTGGCAATTTGCGCGTATAGTTAGAATTTTGTTGAAACAGATTGTGTGGCGTGGGAATTGAAATTAGAATAATTATAGTTTGGGTGGGTAAAACGTTGCAGCCATGGTACCACCTTAAAATTGGTTTGTTGGGGTCGTCTAAAACTTTTATTAGGCTGACGGGGTGCTGGACTCATTGAAATTTGGAAATAGTGGGTGTTATTTTCCTGTATGACCATATGGAGAGCTTCACCTAAATTGGTGGGACGTATGCAGCATATCGTAGTGCCTAGTGGCTCTCGTAATTCGGAAACTTTCTAATTTTTTTTTTTTTGAACTCACGATCAGTCCGATTTGTCAATAAATCGTACAACGAAAAGACTTTCTTCGATAGATAAGCTTTTGACAAATCCTGCTGACTGTCGTGTAAGGGTTGAGGCGTGAAATAACAGTTCTTGTAATACTCAACAGCGTCGTTTATTACTCGCAAACAATGGGCAAAACTACACCGTTATAAGCTTGTGTGACAACTTCTATGACAACTGTCATTCTCCTAAACTTACCTCCAGTGTCCTTATTCTTGAAACAGGAGAGCAGCGTTCCTGGGAGAACGAGTGCTCCGTCTTTGTTCCTGATATCATTATTTTCATATTATTGAGAAACACTCGTTGTCCTGGGAACGCTGCTCCCCTGTTTCAAGAATAAGGACACAAGGACATTGAATGGTGGAATATTTATATAAAGGATATGCTAACAGCACATCTCTCTTTTTTTATTGTGAAAGAACACCGCGCCATTCATCATCCTAGTCTCAAACAACAAACTAATTTTCCTAAATATTCTAGACTACCTAATCATTAATAGTCCGGGAGGTGGCGTCACTTTTGGACTAGTGATCGATCTTCAGACGAATTTTTCAGCGTGCGTAGTTCTTCACATGAACATATCAGATCCGCGCGTCAGTCAGTCCAATAGCGGTGGGTGTGGATGTGGGAGTCTGTGGAACTCGTCGGAAAAACTATGAAAAAAAGTTAATAATCTGAACATGAAAATTTGTTAAAATGTTAATTATTGATAATTGAACGAGAAAATATTCGTCAGTAACGCTTCCGACGGGGCAAACATTGTCAGTTAGAGGTTTGAATCAGTCGGAAAAGTTGGAAAATCCAAGTGACCGATCTTCACTTGAAATTTTATAGAATGATTATTTGAATCAAATGAAGCATAAAAATGAACGTCAGCCACTTTTATCGTGGTGGATTCTGCGTCAGTAGGGTTTCCAAAGTCGAGGACAGTGACCAGGTTTTTTTGGCGCGCTGCATCTTATGCAGTTCGACTGACGAATAATCCACCGGCATCGTGCCGACTGACGACTTTTTATCGAATGTCAAAGACAATTTCTCATTTATTTATCAATTTCAAAGTGATATAAATCACTAAATTGAATTTTTGATTCGTTATTAAAACTATTCTTATAAATAATTTTTTTTCGGATCATCTGCTGTTTACTGCTTAAGCCAGTGAGGCACAGTGAGACACTACAGACTGCGCTGTTTGCTGGAGAACTTGTTTTGAAAATGACTGATTCAAAGCCTTTCTGTGTTATTTGCTTGAAAAAAAGTGGACCGTTAATTCGATTTTCCGATGATACTTTAAAAAAGTGTCAAGCAGTGTTAAAAATTCGAAAAGAAAATTATTTGTCGATGCGTGATGCGAGATTGGCCAAAAACATTTCATCGGCGAGCCAGTACCTATCATTGGAAACGTTACAGACAATTTACCGCTCTGTCGAAAAAGTATAGAAAATCTAAGGAAATTGATTCTTCAAAAACAATTTGTTGTGTAGGTATACTTTTCCGTTAGCTCGACTACATTGAACGGTCAGACAGGGGCGGCTTCTCAATAAGTGCGCTCGTGCGCGCGCACTGCCTCCAAAAACCAAGCAAGAAAATAAAATTAAAATTTTGGAAAGAAAAGAAACTTCAATTAAAAAATACTTACCCAATTTTCTAAATTAGGATAAATATCTACTCATTTGTCTATTTTTAAATTCGCACGAACGGAACGAAAGCGCGCCCTGCGCCTGTCTTGTATATTTTTTTCTCCCGCTTGGTTATGCTGGTGGTCCGGGTGGTCGGTGTGGAATCGTTCGGCGCTCTGGGTAAATGTGTTTTCTCGCTGTGCGATTGATCGGGAATATACGGTAAGTCGCCCGATGAAAGGGATGCGCCGTGCGCTATTTGAATACACACTTCCAATGTTGTTTCCACTCAATCGAGAATATTTCGATGTTTTTTCACCATTTTGGCGGTTTGACAACTTTGTTGTTCGCGGTTTTTTTTTAAATTATAAATTTCAATATCAATTATGTATTATGGCTAGAATACAAACATTCAAGCCTCATTTAAATACATATATTTTTGTTTTCGATAATTTTTCCTAAAGTAAAAAGAAAAAAAATCAACTTACAAAATAAATGTAAAACAGGACGTGGCACCTCCAAAAAATTTTCCAAGAGCGCACAACCACACAAGGTTGCCACTGGCCGCCACTGCGGTCAGATGTGTATATTGTGATTATAATCTGATCGCAGCACACTCCGAGTGAAGTATATCATTCTATACCTACTTCACTAAATTCAGTCATGTGAAAATATACACCGCGCAAAAATTATCGCATCGATCAGAGCAGAAAACACAGAAATGAACAGATAATTGCAAAGTGGAATGTATGCCTATCCGCATTTTCCCGAAAAAAGTAAACAAGAACCTAACAAAAGAAGAAACGACATGTTTTTTGACTCGAGTTTTTCAGTTGAATAAAGCCTATTCAGGGAAGAAATTTTAAAAATAAATTTACTTTAGCCTTTACCGCCGTGTAAGTCTGAATTGTACCAGCATTTCTTAAGAACTCTGCACATTGCGCACATGTGGTCTCATGCTTCGCAGCACATAAGAACTATAACTAGTCTGATTGATTATGCCTGGCAAGAAGAAGATGGAAAATATATTTTCAAGTGGTTCGATGGAGAACACTTGCCTGATCTTCAAGATATCACCGATGATTTATCAAAAAATCTAACAGGTAATCAAAAATTTCACATCGCAATATTTTAATTTAGAAGAATAGTGGTAGTAACTGTTCATGAATTGAATTTAGTTATTTGATTCATTGAGTCATTAGAATTGATCGAAAAATAACAAAATCTCATGCACATTCAATAAACAATCCTCATTCGGCACACGGCAGGTGGATTTTTCGTCAGTCGAAATGCATAAGATACAGCGCGCCAAAGAAACCTGGTCACTGCCCTCGACTCTGGAAACCCGACTGACGCAGAATCCACCACGATAAAGGTGGCTGACGTTCATTTTCATGCTCGATTTGAATCAAATAATCAATTTTATAAAATTTCAAGTGAAGATCTGTCACTTGAATTTTCTAACTTTTCCGACTGCTTCAAACCTCTGACTGACGATGCTTCCCCCGTCGGAAACGTGACTGACGAATATTTTCACGTTTAATTATCAATAGCTAACATTCTAACAAATTTTTATGTGCAGATTATTTACTTTTTTTCATAGTTTTTCCAACGAGTTCCACAGCCTCCCACACTTACACCCACCGCGGTCGCGCTGGCTGACTTTCAATTTTGATCACAGTGATGGTGAAACTCTTCAATAAATCACATTTGAGTCGGAGATAAATCATTAATAAAAAAGTGACACTACCTCCCGTACTATAAGATATTCAGGCCTCTTTAGAAGTCTTTTTGGCCTACTAGGCGTTACATATTCAGAGTCCGAAAAATCATGCGCAGTTTTATATTCATCTTTATTATGAACTGAAGGACGGAATGTATAGTTTTCAATAGCTTCAATTTGATCTGGAATTTCACTGGTTAACTCAGTATTATTTGTTTCTATTATTTTGCCTGGTAAAGCACCACTATATTTCGAAGAGCCAGGCGAAACACTTGAGCTGTTGGAAGTTGGTAAAATATCACTAACCGGACTTTCTGTTTGGGTGTTCGACTTGGGGAAATAGTATGGTGCATAGATCAAATGCCATCTATTTCTTATAAATTTCCCAGCTTCAGTTAGAATGATATAAGACCTGGGCTCCTGACAAATTTCAACAACCTGGCCATATTTCCTGATATCAACCACCCAGACAGAATCACCCACTTTTAAAGGTTCCAAATCCTTGGCATTGTGTCTCTTATTGTAATTTTTTATTTGCTTATCCTTTATCTCTGCATTTTTTTTTCAAGGTCTGATTTTGTTGAAAAATTTAGTAAACTTGGTAGTTGAGTTAAGTTAGATCTTAATTCAGAAGGTGAAAAAAACCACATTCTAGAGGCGTACTTCTATACGCTAGCAATGCCAAAAAGAAGTCCGTATTTTTTATTTTTCTTAATTAACCTTTTAGCCATTTGTACTGCACGCTCCACTCCGCCGTTGCTTTGAGGCCAGTGAGGACTGCTCGTCTTATGAATAGAATTATACCTGTTTAAAAATTTTAAAAATTTTGATGAAAACTGAGGACCACAGTCAGTTCTAACGTCTTCTGGGATACCATAGCGCGAAAAAATCTCTTTAGGTTTGGGAATAATAGCATCTTCTATCATGCTTGTCAAGATAAAAATTTCAAACCAATGAGAATAATAGTCAGTTGCTATCGTATACCACTTATCATAACATTTGTAGAAATCAACCCCAAGCTTTCGCCATGGTCTTTGTACCGTTTTATCTGTACGAAATGTCTCTCTATGATTTTCCCGGTGTTCAACACATTGGGGACAGTGTGTTACAAGATGATTAATCTGGGATGAAAGACCAATCCACCAAAAACTTTGTTTGGCTCGGTCACGACATTTCACAATGCCCAAGTGGCCTGTATGAATAAATTCTATAACTTTAAGTTGAAGACTCTTGGGTATTATTATACGAGATCCTTTTAGAAGAAAATGTTCCGAATAAGAAATGTCATATCTATATTGAAAATAAGGCAACAATTCAACCGGCAGTTTTGATTTTTCAGGCCAAGAAATCGTGGAATATTGTTTTAGTTTTTGACAAACAAACTCACTTTCTTGTTCTTTTTTTTTATTAAATTTAAAAAATAGTCTTTGATAGGTAAGTTATGAATAATCGAATGCACATAGGCGTTTACTATGTCTGTTAATTCTTTATTAGAGGAATCTTTTGTTTGTAATGGACCACGACTTAGAGTATCTGCTATGATCAGATTTTTCCCTGGGGTATACATTACAATGTACCTATATCGCATCAAACGCATACGAAATCTTTGTAAACGTGGTGTCAAATCAACTAAATTTTTTTGTTTGCAGAATCTGAAGCAAAGGTTTATGGTCAGTTTTAAAGATAAGGTTGGGAACTCCTGAAATATAATCCGAGAAATATTCGGCTGCCCACGTAAGTGCAAGAGCTTCTTTCTCGATCTGCGCGTATCGCGTTTCAGCTGAATTTAAAAGTCTCGAGGTGAAGCCTACAGTTTCGCGAGAATGATCGTTATTTTCTTGAAATAAGCATGCCCCTATCCCAAAATAACTTGAATCTGCACTAATTATAATAGTTTTATTGGCATCGAAAAATGCTAAATTTGGAGGACTCTCTAGCAATTGTTTTAAGGAGTTGAATGATTTATCTTGTGCTGATCCCCATAAAAAGTTAATGTTTTTTTTTAAGTAAAGTCGCTAAAGGTACAAGAATCTCTGATTTATTAGGAATATATTTCGCTGCAAAATTAATCATACCAAGCCATCTTAACAGCTCAGTCCTATTACGGGGTTCACGAAATTCACGAATAGCTTTAACTCTATCTGGATCAATTAATATTCCATTCTCAGAAACAATATGGCCCAAGTATTTAACTGATTTAGAAGCGATAAGACATTTGTTTTTATTTAATGTGATACACTCCTGATAAAGTTTTTTTAAAACTGTGTTCAAAATATTGTCATGTTTTTCAATTGTACTTGCATGAATTAAAATATCATCCATATGAGTGACACAACCTTCAATTCCAGTTAAAATTTTTGAAAAACGCATAGCGAAATATTCTGGAGCACAAGATGTCCCAAATGGGAGCCTTTTAAAGAAAAAAAGACCGAAAGAAGTTATAAAGGTTGTTAATAACTGACTTTCCTTATTGAGTGTTATTTGATAAAATCCGCTTGTTGAATCCAGTTTTGTGAAGAACTTAGAACCGTTTAACTGTGCTAAAGTATGGGATATTTTGCCAAGAGGAAAATGAGATCTTAAAACATTTTCATTTAGCTTGGTATAGTCACAACAGAGCCGCACAGAGTCACCCTTGTCAACGCAGACAATTGGGCTCACCCAATCTGTAGGCTCTTCGATAGGCTCAATAATGTCTAATCTCAACAGTCTATCAATTTCTACTCTTAATTTTGGTAAAAGCGGCAAAGGAACGGTTCGGGGAACACTTTGCACATAAGGCTTAGCATCAGATCTAATTCTAATAGACATTCCATTTTTAAATTCTCCTATATCACTAAAAATACCAGGAAATTTTTTAGCAATTAAGTCTAAACTAAACTTTGAAAAAACATTTGGATTCTCAAGCCCATTCAAATGGACAACATCGCAACTAATTTGACTTACATGTCTTAATGCATGCTAAGAAAAATTAAAAACATTAAATTTGATAATAGTACTCCTACTTAAAATGGGATGTCTTAATTTCTTGATGCAATAAATCGTCTCAGTATCTGTAATACCATCATAAGTGAACTTGATACGTAACTTTCCCACTGTGTCCAGTTTATGATCATCAGCAGCGCCAATTGGATCACATTTCACTATCTCACTTTCGTATTCTGGAGGTAACTTCTGCTCCACTGTCCACGAAAAATGGAACTTTGAGTCTATTGTCCATTATAATGTCCACATACCAGCGATCCTTGTCGTCAAGGTACACTTGGCCAATAAAAGAATCCATTTGTATTACTTGGTTCACAATATTATGTGGCTCCTCGTCCTCAGAACAGCTACTTGTGTTGGGCTCTGAGCACTCAACAGCTCTGATAGCCTTTTTCCTGCACATAGCACTCCAGTGACCTCTACGTAAACAAGATCTACACTCAGAGAACTTTGCTGGACATTTCTCCCTATCTTTGCATGTACGTATACCGCAGTAGGCACACCTATCACCTTCTTTGGAAGTACTCCGTTTAGGAAGAAATTTATCCTTGTACCTTTTGTCCTTAAATACTTTGTGATCGTGCTCAACAGCACTAACTGACTGCTCCTGCATCATGATTTTGTTTTGAGCATCCTGAAGTTCAGATTGGCATGCCATTTGGATTGCCTTCTCAAGTGATAGACTGTCATTTAGCTGCATCCTTTCACTCACTTTTATGTCAGTTATACCTATAACAATCCGGTCCCGGATTAATTCTTCTTTGAGAGAACCATAGCTACAATACCCCGCAAGAGCATGTAGACTTGAAATAAAATTTCCCACAGACTCTCCCGGTCTCTGGAATCTGGAATTGAACTGGAATCTTTCAAAGATGATATTCCGCCGGGGAATAAAATGATTATCGAAAATCTGCAATATCTCTTGGAAGTTTTCGTTTCCAGTTAGCTATTTTTGAAGTAAAATTTCCTCGGTTTCATTTCCCATCAAATACACCAAAAGATCCAATTTGTCCTTGTCAGACTTTTTACCAAACCCACTTACCGACATATATCTTTCTACCCTCTTTTTCCATTGGGGCCATGTCTGGGGCTGCGCAAAATCAAACTCGCTTGGAGCCGTAACGTTAGCAAACGCTTCCTTTACCACCGACGCACTTGCCGATGCCTTCATAGGTGGAGACATTTTTCACAGCTTCAAATTTCCTACTTCTACCAGCGTAATAGTCCTTGGGCCCAGATCCAAATCTAAAATCCTGTTCGATCACTCTTCGCCTGCTTTATTCAATACACAGCAAAGCACCCGCTGCCACCATGTCGTGTTAGGGTTGAAGCGTGAAATAACAGTTCTTGTAGTACTCAACAGCGTCGTTTATTACTCGCAAGCAATGGGCAAAACTACATCGTTATAAGCTTGTGTGACAACTTCTATGACAACTGTCATTCCCCTAAACATAGAAAACTGATTTAAAATTTTTTAAATAGAACATTCACTGGATTCATCGCCTCCACTTTTTGTTTTAGTTCATGACTACACCGCTGTGCGCCCATATCGCCGTTTCTCAACGTCCCCCCCGTTTTTATTCTAATCTGTGACTTCACCGATGAGTTAGCTATCTTTGTTTACTGGATAAGAAATGACAATGACCGACATAGAATGGTGGATTTAAAAACCAGTCATAAAAACGCAGGTCCATTTGACATCATAATATAATGCATATGTCATCTGAATCATACCCCGCGATCTTCAAATGTACCACTTGGTTCGATGAAAAACTTGTTTCATGCCCGGTAGAGGCGCTATCAATTGATTTGCGTACGCGTTGTTGATTGTATCTCCAAGGTATCTCCGCTTCAGAAGAAGGGTGACGTGATTACTAATTAAATTATGACATGAACAGACATAAATTCATGAAATGACAAATGATGACAAAACGATGAACTGGAAAACGTTGTGCTTCTTATTGTTGCTTTATTATTTCTGTTCGTTGAAAAAGTGTTTCGTAGTGATAGACCGTTATCTGTGTGTATTTGTGAACTTTCACAGTGTTATGTTTAGTGTAAAGACTATTATTGTTATTTAATTCTATGTTGTTGAGTGTTGTTGACAAGTTTCGAAAAGCCAACATAATTTTCTTCTTTCTTTGTAATAAACCGTAATTTGTTAAATTTGTATCAAATTGTGTCTTTATCATAAAATAAATAAAAAGCAAATCTAAATAAAATAAGAAGCAAACTGCTCTACAAGCTGCTACAATGGGATGAGCTCTTTTCATAGACAACAGATGGCGCCACAAATGGTGGTCCGATCCGTATAACGGGACTGTCCATTCTATACCCCCTATAAACCTTATTCTATGATCTGAATTAATTTGTTAAGTGCATCGTCATTGATTGTTTTGAATTCCAAGACTGTGAAAGAATTAATAAGTGCATCACAAGCAGCCGGTTTAGGAGTTGTTGCCGCAATGTGTGACCAGGCGGCAAAAAATAAATCGGTCAAAAGCAAATTGCAGTCACAAACATCTACATCAAAAACAACACAGAAACAGAAATTTTGGTTTTGTTGGAGATAAACAACCTAGTGCCACTGTATGATGCTCCATATTACATGCTCGAGGGAATTATAAATTACTTGATCAAATATGACAGTCATTCAAATGGCAAAATGGACATTTTCAAAAAGCAAGTTGGAAAGTTTTTCAGTTAGCTTATGAGTCAGATACGCCAAATCATCTAGATTATAGACTATTTTATTCATTAAGTGATTCTCACAAATATATGAAAATAAAATGTATAAAATTTTAGTTTATGAAGTTTTGGAGCACTGTTTTATTTTGAAATAATTGAAATGTCAAACGAGTCATTTGAAACCGAGATTCAAACAGCCCGCCAAATATTAGTTCAATGACTACACCGCTATGGCAGCACCGTCGGAAATGTCACTGGGTGACTACAACAAAAGTGAGCGTTCTATATCAAAAATATAAATCACTTTTCTATGCCCCTAAACTTACCTCCAGGACATTGAATACTGGAATATCTATACAATGGATATGCTAACAGCACACTGACTGCCAGTTAACTATTTTAATAGGCCAACTTAGTTTTTTTTTTTTAATAATTTGAGTTTAATACAAATACAAAATACAAAAATATAGACTAACCCTAACAATCCAATTCTAATTATTTTATATGTTTAATTTTGCAGGGTCAGCATGTCGACTCGGCTTATTCAGTTGTTTGGTGGTGACATAACTGGTGTGCAATCCTAAAATAAAATAACTCTACATCCCTTTAACAACATCATTAATTAAAAAGGTTTACCTTCTTTACAGTGTGATACATCTAATCGGAATATTTTCTATATGGAACACAGCACTTCAGGCAGAAGAGCTATAAAAAGATCATATAAGTCGGGCATCATGGTACTGGCCGGAAGCCATGTTGACTGGCAAACAGAGAACCGCATTTAGAAAATTCGTGATATATCGACTCAACAGCTTATCGAGGAGTAGCAAAAATGGTCAAACGGGAGATTTTTCTAGGAAAAACTGGAAAAACTGAGATACACATCTCAGATTCTGCTACAAGAAATCACTCCCATCATCATCATTGAAGGTCTCAATGGCAAATCTTCAATTTTGGGAATTCGGACGGGGATGAGATTTTGGCGAACACAAAGCCGGGTCGACTAACGTGACTACCCTCTAGACATAAACTCTCGACATAATTGGAATGGTATTTGGAATGTCGCAGAATACTCGCACTTCGAGAAGGTACTCTCAATCACAATCCAGTACCACATACCATTGGAACAAAAAAACATAAAAGAAAACAATCAAAAGCTACTGATTACTTAAGAGTTAGGAAGTAGATTAAAAGAAGAGATAGCTCACTTGACACTTGGAGCGTGCGATCCAGACATTCCAGGCAAGCATCTTGGAAGCTCGCCAAGGCGGAAATGCTTCGTCCTCAAACAACGAGGAGCCTACTCGAAGATTGGAAAGGAACAGGATTGCTCTAAATCAGTAGGTACCTTTAGAGATTTACGGCCGCCCTTGATGAAGGATGAAGGAATATAAGATGGAATCAGGAGTCAGAGGAAAACTATGTAAATGACCACTCTGAATAGAAAATGCGGAAGCGAGAGGGCAATCATGTCACCACTGCACGTACACAAATGCCATGAGAGAATTACAGCTCAATGAACATCCAGACGAAGACTAGTATAAGATTTGAGCTGAGAGTGGATAGAAAAAAGACTACTCAATCGAGACACCGCGCCACGTATCAGGAATTACTTGGGAAATTTGGATGAAAATCAGAAGACTAACTGTCAATAAAGTGTTTGGATTGAACACAATTACGAATACAATGATTAAACAGATGCCAAGGAAAGCAGTGATTGATCTCTCAGACATCACCAATTCCATTTGAAGTGCTTATTCTGGGAAAGGTACCAGCAAGAGGTAACTGAGAACCTGGAATTGGTTCTGACATTGGACGAAGCTACAGGCGCTTATCAAAATAGTCGAATACATCACCAACGGATTTAACCGAAATAGGGCAACTGGAACCGTCATGCTTGACGTTACAAGATGATCGAAACCGATTAGCTAGCAAATTTTGCTAGCTGAATCAAAATCAGCTGACAGATAGACCCTTCGCCCTATTTAACTGAATTGGGGTTTCACTGGGAAAGGTGCTCGAATCAACTTTATACATCTGCATACACGGAGATTTCTCTGTACGCAGACGATTGGAAAATCGGCGCACGGCGTAGAAACCCAGCATGGAGAGAAGCTTCAGAAAAAAATTGATGTTATTGCGAAATAGAAGAAGATGAAAATTATCATAGCGGAGACCGAACTCATCCTTTTTCAGAAGACAAGGTTGACATCGAGGAAGGTCAACTACCTCTAGGACTGATTATAGATGCGAAGCTGAAGTGTGGATCTCACATTGAAACAACCCGAAACAATGCACAAGCAGACTTTCTAGGCGAGTGTTATTTAACTAAAACTTTATTTTACATTTTAATGTAGCAATGTTGAATTCAATTAGGTAGCAAAATTTCAAATAATAGGTAGGTATGTTTGTGTGTATTTATAATCAATGAAGCTGAAGTCGCTTAGTGTGAAGGTAATTGAAAGTAAATACCTACATGAAAGATATACAAACACATCAGAGTTAATCGTTCAATTGTAGCGATGGTGGTTATGTAAAGAGAATTCATGCTTGGACTATGGATCTAGGGTTAAATTTAAAAACTGAAATCGTACAAACCCAAATTCTGAAAAAATGTTAATGCATATTGTCTAGAAGAATAAATTCGAGTGATTTATTTCAAAACAACTTTTCACCAAGCCAGCTAGTCGTCTTTTGACCATTAGAGCAAGACATAAATTTTCTTGTGTCCTTGTACAAAAACCTCTCAGAAACTGACCGGAATTAAAAGTTTGTTTCGCGCTTCGCAAAGCGACAGGGAATAGGGGCTTTAAAAATATTCTCGAAAAAAAAAAGGAAAACATTGTGTTCTAGGACTTTTTTCATTAATTTTTAATACGTATTTTAGTGAAGGGTGGGATTTTTTTGTAAAGAGGAAAGATAGTTCTCCCTTATTTAGTAAAATGC